GGATAAAATTCTCTGAAGTTTCTCTGAAGCTTCAAAGCCTCAAGCTGCTTTTGGAAATCGTCCAACTTTTGATCTCGCTCTTTCTTGTGCGGGTTGGACTCAGCTTCGGATGATTCAGAGTAAACTTCAAAAATATTTTCTTCCTCATCTTCTTCATTATTGTCATCTTGATTTCGACGGTTAGATTCCCGAGCACTGGGTGAAGGTCGCCGGTGCCTTGATCCTGAGGCTTCAGTGGTAGATTTCTTCTTCTTCTTCTCCTTGAGGAATTTGTCTACCATATAATCTAGGCGTCTGATGGTTTCTTGTTGTTGGAGGAGAGCAGCTTGTTGTTCTTCCAGCCTTCTTGATATTTATTCTTCATTCCTGGCCATGTGAGCGATCACTTGCTCACTTTGATCGGTGCTGGAAGGTTGGGATGTTGTAATGACAGAGTTCTCAGGCTCTTCATCGACATCATAGGATATACCCACTAATTTTTGATAATCCAATGGGATCCTTGCTCCGGTATGGGTACGGGTGTGTTGGTAAACACCCTATTTTTCAATGAGTGCTTCACATAATCCTGGGGAAAACTCAAGATTAGAGGACTCAGAAGAATCGGCTTAGGTTTTACCCTTGCTGTTAGCAACCATATTGATCGTCACTCCGACGTGGTGATTTTTGGGTGATGGTTTCTTAGGACGAAAACACCTTCTTCTTGATGACGCGATCATCGACGGCTCAATCAACCGTTCTAAGACCGAAGATTTACATGCTGATTCCCCACATGAGTATTGGAAAAGCGCTGCGGAGATAAGTTTCTCACAACTGCAATTGGATTTCATCTATCTCATGCTACGCTTACAAACCAGGTAATCACGGAGATCAGTAACAGGACCACCCCCTGTTAACTCAGGTAGCTTGCTTATGCATGCGTAAGAATCTCTAAGTGTTAGAGATTGGCGAGCCTCGTGGCCTGGACGAACCTCATGCTGAAGACGGGGTTTGTCGTCTGGGCACACTCGGATGCTTGGGCAAGGCTCATGTGTGATACAAGGTTCGTCGGTTGGGCGAGCCTCATCATTCATGCAAGCTTTGATTTTCAGACGAACCTGGTTTGGGGAACGAACCTCATATTTCATGCAAGGTTCGTCAATCGGACGAACTTGGTTCCAAGGATGGATTTGTCATCCGAGTCGAACCTCGTCTTGGACTCTTGCATGTTTCTCTGTAATAGTGCTAGTCTGAGGTTGAAGGCGAGATTCGTCTTTTTGACGAGGTTTGTCACTTCGTCGAGCCTGAACAGGGTAAATTTGCACTGGTTGTTTTGGATGAGCCTCATTTTGAAGCTCGTCGTTCGAACCTAATTGGATACAATGGTGAAGTTCATCATTTTGACGTTCCTCTGTCACTCGACCCTTAACAAACTTGTTGACCTTGGGCTGATCAGCTCTCCGTTGATAGTGAGAACCATCTAGCGAGACCAAAGCTCGAGCCCTACGGCGAGCTTAGTTCTGGCACTGACGTTGTTGAGTGCGTCTCGATAGTGGACCAACAGGAACTTTTGCTTCAGTCGAAGCTAGGCGAGGTTCGTTATCAAAAGCCATAATTTGGCTAGTAGAAGCCGAAGTTCAGCTAGATTGCTTGATAACCCATTTCTTAGCTTGACGGCTAATTATTAGAGCCTCCTCTTTGAGGGGCATGGACTTTTCCTCGAGGTTAACTCGAGTTGAATCATTATAAGCCACTCGGGCTGAGGTCTCATACGAGACTCGACGACACTTACGTGCCTTCATGGGACTAGATGCTCCAGAGGAGATATACTCCTTATATTTGGTCTGGTCAAATTTGATGACTAGGGTCTCAACCATGGTTCCCACTGCAATCTTGTCTGATTATGCCACCACCATTTCATCAGAAAGAATGGCTGTTACCACTATGATCGCCATCATTTTTAGTGTCGAAAAATTGAAGATTGGTTGATTCACTTGTTTTAAGAAAACTGGGTTTGATCGCTTGGTTCGAAACCCTTACAATCACTCACACTCTCTCTCGATTACAGATGAAGAGAATATTAATTCAGCTCCTCCTTGTTTAACGTGGGTTCTTGGTGGAGAAAGGATGCTTCCCCCGATGCTTGAGTTGAGATTTCCTCCTATTGACAATCAGAACAAGATTGCTGAAGCTTCTCACGTTAGTTAGCCAGCTGGAATCGAAATTCGAACTCCGGATTTGCACGCAGAAGCTCTAATCTCTAATAATTCTCGAGGTCTAAATTGCCAAGAGTTTAAAAGTCCCCACCACCCTCTTCATAGCTGCTTGCGGCTATTTATAGAGTTTTAGCATGTAATTGATCTGCTATAATCGTGGGGTCATGGGCGTAATGAACTCTTGAGATTTAGCCTATGTTGATTAATGAAGCGTAACGTACTCCTTAGATTTAGCCTATGTGGGCTGACTTGGTCCTCGTGGCCATTACAACCGAACTTCGTGTGGATGATGAGCCTCGTTGCGTGGTGAGGTTCGTTAGACAAGTTTCGTCTTCACTGACGAGCTTCTTCTTCATTGACGAGCTTCAAGTCTGACGATGAGCTATTTCTTCACTAACGAACCTCATCTTCCAAAGATGAACATCGAACCTTGTTTCCAATCGAGCTTTGTTGTTTGAGACGAGGTCTGTCATTGTAATGACCCTCGTCATGCTTCTTATGAGCTTTGACGCTCCAAGACCAAATGATTAGCCGATGATCTATGAAGATCCATGAGAGTGGAGGACAGATAGGCTTTTTGACTAGCCTCTCAATCTCCCCCTTCCTTTCATGTTGATCATACCTATTTATAGGCTTAGGACTATTATAGAGTGAGTTAATGGGCTTTAACTCCCCTTATAATGAGGGAGTTATGGTTATTAACTCCCATTTAAATGGGTGAGCTAATTATTATTAACTCTCCTTAAATAGGTGAGTTATTGATCATTAACCCTCCTTAAATGTAGCCTCTAGAAATGGTGACAAACGAGGTTCGTCAATGACGAACTTTGTTTCTGGACGAACTTCATCTTGAATAACGAACTCCGTTTCTGGATAAACTTCGTTTTTGGATGAACTTCATCTTTAATGACGAACTTCGTTTCTAGGCGAACTTCGTCTTCAAGGACGAAGTTCGTCTTCTGAGGGGTGAGGTGCTATTTATCGTATTTAGCTGAGACAAACTTCATTAATAGAGGCTGAGGTTCGTTGTTGTGAAAACCCTCGTTGTGCTTGTAGTGAGGTTTGACCCTCCTTTATTTCTTGGCATTTTTTAGTGTCTACCATGAGAGCTCCGAGAAAAACCGTGATGCAGAATAGTTGTGGAGAATTTCTCAAACCAGGCCTGAGGCGCTTGTTTGAGACCATAGAGATCCCGTCAAAGTTTGCAAAGCTGTCCAGGGGAATGAGGAAACCCATGGGGAGGTTGCATGTAGACTTCTTTAATTAGATCGCCATGAAGAAAGGCATTCTTAACATTCATTTAATGAAGAGTCCAATTGCGGATGGAGGCAACTGAGATAAGAGTGCGAACGGTGGTCATACAAGCGACCAGGGAAAAGGTTTCTTCATAATCAATTTCATACTCTTGAGTATATCCTTTTCCAGCAAGACGTACTTTGTATCTGTCAATAGACCCATCAACCTTTGTTTTGATTTTGTAAATCCATCTGCATCCAGCAACGGATTTTCTAGTAGGTAAATCCGTAAGAACCCATGTTTTCGTTTTCTAAAGAGCAACAAGTTCCTCAGACATAGCCTTCTGCCATTGAGGATCGGTAGAAGCCTCACGATATGAGGATGGCTCATGGAGAGACAACAGGGCAGAGAGGTAGCATTCGTAATGGGAATGCTAGATTGGTGGATGTCGGTCTCGGACTGGGCACATTGAAGGGCCATCGATGGGAGATACAGACTCAGGAGAAGGCGTAGAGTTATCAGTAGGTGGACAAACAGTCACAGGTGTAGGGGAAAGTCAGGTGTTGGCATAGGAGTGGCAACAGGATGAGTGGGAGGTGGTATCACATGATTAGCTATAGGAGCAGTGACAGATGGCATAGGATCTGACACTAGTAGATTAGGGGACTCTGGGAATGGGTCGATAGGAAGAGAGATCACAGTATTTGTAAGGGGATTTTTATGCAGTGTGTAATATGGTTTATGTTCCCAGAATGTAACATGGCGGAAATGCGAAGCTGTTTGGCAATTGGTTCGTAATAGCGATACCCTTTTTGTTGAATCCCATACCCCAGGAAGACACACATGACATTTTTGGAAGTGAGTTTTGTTCGTTCTTGTTTCGGGAGTAACACAAAGCAAGTGGATCCAAATACACGAAGCTCAGAGTAATTTGGAGTGGTCCCAAATAGACGCTCGAAAGGAGATAAGCCACTGGTGACTATGGAGGGGATGCGATTAATAAGAAAGGTAGACATGTGAATGGCTTCCCTCAAGAATGCGAAATGGACGGACGGGGAGACAAGAAGAGTACGAACTGTTTCAACAAGGTGTCGGTGTTTTCGTTCAGCAACCCTATTTTGCTGAGGGGTGTCTAGACAAGATAGTTAGGGAAGAGTCCCTTGTGATTTTAGGAACTCAAGAAAGTGTTTGGATAAGTATTCTCCCCCGGAGTTAGATATGAAGACTTTGATAGTTTTCAAAAATTGAGTTTTAATCATAGTAGCAAATTCGATGTATGCTTTCAAAAAATCAAATCGAGAATCACTAGTAGAAAACTGTATATCCTAGATGAAACATTCTAGACGAAAATTTTTCCATCTAGTTTGCTATTAAACTAGACGAAAAATTTCTGTCTAGAATATTCTGTCTAGAATAAAACATTCTAGACGGAAATTTCCGTCTAGGATAGTATACTAGACGGTTCTGTGATTTTTATTTTTTTTAAATAACCAAGTATCCTAGACAGAAATTTCCGTCTAGGATACATCATAGACGGAAATTTCCATCTTGGAT